AAATAGTAGGGGGGATAGGACCGACCCCTGCGGCACCCCATAGGTTAGGGGCCTCAGGGACGATCTCTGCCCCCCCACTCAGTAGGTAAGAGCACTTTGCAGGCTTCCCTAACCGTCTGCACATGCATTTTTGCGAAGGGGGAGCGGTTTCGGGAGGCCAAAAATGCTGTATTCAGTGTATAAGAACGCACCCAGATTTCCCCCCTCTTTTGAGGGGGGAAAAGGTACATCTTATACTCGGAAAAATCCGGTAACTTAGTATAGCCCCATGACCAGATGGGTGGCAAATTTAACAAATGAAATTAAGTATAATAAATATGTATGTCTGTATAAGTGCAACCATTATAACCATTCATTTAGCGACAGTTCAGAGTTAACACCCCATCGAAAATTTTTTTTCACACTTATGACCGTTGTAGCATCCCTGGGGTCATGTGATCAAAGTTTGGATGTTTGCAGTTGGTTCATATTTGTGACGGTTGCAGAGTGTCGGGGTCACATTTTGCAACCTTCTGATATGCAAAGTCAATGGGGAAGCCAGATACACTTAACAACTGTAGTGATTCACTTAGCAAATGTAGTAAGAAAGGTCGCAAAATGGGGCAAAACTGTTTAGTAATATAAATTTTGGCTCAGTTGTGATAATAAATCAGGGACTACCTTTATCATTAAACATGGCTGAAATTCTGAGAATTGTAATTCTTAGACATCTGGATGGCATCAAGTTGCCTTAATGAATTAATTTAGGCCACATCTAAGGGTACTGATTGCTCTCTTGGGACCCGATAGTAAGGAGCAATAGAACTTGATGCTAATCATTTTGTAGACTATATCCTGCAATTCTGTTTTATTCTGCTGCCAATGGTTTTATTGAGGACCATGTCCGTTTCATCAGAATCCATAGATTCCTGCGATCCCAAATAAGTCATCCCAGTTTGATTTATTTGTGCTGTTCATTTCAAAGCAGTGATTCGGGGCAGGATATGAATTGCAGTAACAGTTCTTCGGTGGTCCAAATGTCCAAGATTAAGATAGTGATTCCAATCTGTATAAAAAACAAATTTAATTCACAAGAGCTCATGGTCACCCAAATCCCTGGGAAAACAGCCGGGTCCTCAGAGAATTACAAAGGTTAAATTATTCATGGTGGCCCAGCTAAGAATCTTCCAGTTATCAGTTTTATAAGGAATTGAGTAGCTGTAAACAATGCTGCTGTGTGGTTTTCCATGGATGAAATAAAAGCAGAGAAGTAAGGCTTGTTTTACTTTTCTTAGCATCACAGCGTAGGCTAAACATTGAGATCGTGCCTGTGTTTGGTCACATTCATTCTTCATCTTATACCAAGTTTGTGTTAGAAGTCTCTTCTGTCATGTTCCAGTGGCTGCTCCACCCCCAGTCCCAACAGTGATTTTTCAAGAGGCAACTCTCATCCAAGAAGCTTCTTCAGCTCTGATCTAAAGAAGCTTCTTGGATGAGAAGCGAAATGTCTTCAAAAGAAAAAACCAGAAAGTCCAGTTGCCTTTGGGGCAACCATGACCTGGATGACTCAGAATCTCCATAGGCATCCACCCCAGTCATGTGATTGCATTTCAGGCACTGGAAAACCGGCCTGTATTTATGGCCATTTGAAGTGTCCTGCAGTCATGTCATTGTCTGTCTGTCTGTCTATCATTAAAATATGGCTTTTACTTCCAGTTTTTGGCAAAAATATTTCATAGGGAACAATAAATTCACTTAACTGTGGTGTTCGTTTATTTACTGGTGCAAAAAAAATATAAACCTGTGGTGTTTGTTTAACTATGTGCAAAAACTCCATAAAATTGTTATGACCATCACAATTTTGAATTGTAATGAACAGACCTCATTACAGTCATAAATTGAGGATGCTCTTTAGGCCCTTTCTCCATATGGATGTCCATGTTACTTGTTAATTCTGTGATAATTAGTGAGTAAACATGGCAAGGGAAATGTCCTGCACTCAGATCATGTGTCAAGCCTGCAGCCATATTTTTTATGGCTCTTAGAGGTGCCACACTTTTCTATTATTCCACTATGCATTTTCTATTGTGGGGAAAATGGGAGGCGGGATTTACGGAGTTAGATGGTATATAGCTGCAACAAAATTATTTCTAGAAAGCCAAGGTCCTCCTTTGTCTCTGCACCTCTGCACCTGACCAGATCTGGATGGGTGGAATCTGCCAGCATGGCAGTGGAAGATTGGACCATTTGATGGATTTGTCGGTGTGGGGGCAGGAGCTTGAACTTTCAACTGTGTGGGGAAAACTGGGAAGCTTTCAGATTCGGGTTTTCCCCAGATGTGCCAACATGACTCTCTTAATAAATTGGAACTTTGAGCAATATTTTGCCTTGAACTCTGATTTACTTTTAGATGCTGACATCATGTTTAACTTGGGTTAATTACAGTTTTACTGGTTGAGCTTGTTGACCAGACATTTGGCATTTCAAGACTCAAGCACTATATTTCTGTTGCTCCCCTCTGGGAGGAGATTTCGAAGTATTTCTAGCAGGACTTCCAGATTCTGTAACAGCTTTGTTCCCTATGCCATCCATCTGGTAAACTCACACGATTCATTTCTCTTGCCATGTATATCCAAACTAAACTCTGTTGTTTCTCTGTGTCATATAATATATGTGGTATATACATAATTACGTATGTATTTACCCTGTTTCCCTGAAAATAAGCCCTCCCTGAAAATATTGCAACACAGGAGCAGCCATGAAGTGACCAAGCTCACCGCCTCTTGCATCTCAAAAATAATAAGATCTCCCCGAAAATAAGGCCAAGCGCTTATTTCGGGGGTCAAAAGACCCTCTCTTATTTTCGGGGAAACATGATATTTATTTATTTATTTATGTCATGTTTATTTGGTGTATATTGGAGATGGTAACCCTGTATGCAACAAAATTTCATTTTAATGTATGCTGATTAGTGTACATTCAAAGTGACAAAGTTATTCTAAGTCAGTGTTTTTCAACCTTTTTGTGCAAAGGCACACTTTTTTCATGAAAAAAATCACGAGGCACACCACCATTAGAAAATGTTTAAAAAAATTAACTCTGTGCCTATATTCAATATAGGCGGGTGTTTTTCCCACGGCACACCTTACACTATGTCACGGCACACTAGTGTGCCGCGGCACAGTGGTTGAAAAACACTGTTCTAAGTCATGTGATGGGGTGAGCCTCTGTCCTTGCTCCAGCTTCTGCCAACCAAGCAGTTTGAAAGCATTTAAATGCAGATAGATAAATAGATTTCACTTCGATGGGAATGTAACTGGGTTTCATATATAGTTGGCATCTAGTTATGCTGACTACACAACCATGGAAGCATCTTTGGACAATGCTAACTCCCTTGGCTAGGAAGTGAACATGAGCACCGACTCTTTAGAATCGGACATGACTGGACTGGTGAAACCTTTATCTTACACTTTTTAATCTTCCTTTGGCTGATGCTTGACTTATAATGAGCCATCAAGCCAGGGTAGACTCTTAGTGACCATATAAATATATTTTCTCCTTTATAGCCTGCCCCTAATTTGGTCTTTCAGGTCTCCCAAGGGTGCCCCCATTGCCAAGTAACTGTCTGCTTTCCTGCTTGCATCTTCTTCTCTTTCCTTCTGCCTTTCCCAGCATTAGAACCATATTCAAAGAACTAGATCTTTGCATAATGTGCCTGATGTAGGCTGATGTTTCCAATTACTTTTATGCAAAAAAAGTTTACATTTTTCTGTTAAGGAAGTTTATGCTGTAGAAACATCTTGTAAAGAATTAAAACAGGCCACCCATTTGAATTAAATTCTGTGAACTTAGTACACTTTAGTATCATTAAGTATTGGTGGGAGAAAATGTTTCTTTACTTAAAAGAACCATTTTTTGTGCTTTTGAAACAGAAACTGCATTCTTTTGTAATTAACCAGAATTATAAGTTACATCTAGCAATTGTCTTTGTTCTCTACAAGTAGTTCTTGACCAATGACCATAACAGTGCCTGCTGATTATGACTGTTGTAAAGCGCGCTATCACATGAAGATCCAATTTTACAACAGTGGCTAAATGAATGCAGCAATTTTAAAGTGACTGCTGTGGCCATTAAGTAAATTTGGTGGTGGTTAAGTGAACCATAGCTTTCCTGTGGGTACACTTTTGCCAATAACTGGATGTAAATGCCATTTTTTAACAAAACTTTGTCGTGAAAGTCAGCTTGGATGAACAGTTTTCTCTCGGCCTAACCCACAGGATTGTGATTGTAAGGAAAATAGGATGAGGAAGATGTGTTGGATATGTTTGCTGTCCTTTTTTGTAAAAAAGGTGAAATATAAACCAACAAAACTCATAAAATGTGCTCACATGACTGCAACACACTGCAAATAAATGTGGCTCAGTTGCAAGTACCCACAATCCAATGACATGACTATGGGGAGGTTCAACCTTCAGACTTCAAAAATGAATCCTAAGTAGCCCCCAGGTAGGTTCAATGGTCACTAACTGGTATAGTATAGTATAGTATAAGTTTATTTATAGGCCGCCCTTTTCCCTGAGGGGACTCAGGGCGGCTTACAACTTATGTAGGAGGGGATACATACAATGACGTATAGAACAATACATAATTAAAAAATAGAGCAACATTCATCATTCGGGCGGGGATGGATTATAATATTTAACCCCAGGCCTGACGGGATAGCCAGATCTTGAGGGCTGTGCGGAAGGTCTGGAGGGTGGTGAGGGTACGAATCTCCACGGGGAGATCGTTCCAAAGGGTCGGAGCTACTACTGAAAAGGCTCTCCTCCGCGTAGTTGCCAGTCGACACTGACTGGCAGATGGAACTCGGAGGAGGCCCAATCTGCGAGATCTGATAGGTCGCGAGGAGGTAATTGGCAGGAGGCGGTCTCTCAAGTACCCAGATCCACTACCATGAAGGGCTTTATGGGTGGTAAGTAGCACCTTGAAGCGCACCCGGAGATCAACAGGTAGCCAGCGCAGCTCGCGGAGGATAGGTGTTATGTGGGCGAACCGAGGTGCACCCACAATCACTCGCGCGGCCGCATTCTGGACTAGCTGAAGTCGCCGGATGCTCTTCAAGGGCAGCCCCATGTAGAGCACGTTGCAGTATTCCAGCCGAGAGGTCACAAGGGCACGAGTGACTGTTGTGAGAGCCTCCCGGTTCAGGTAGGGTCGCAACTGGCGCACCAGGCGAACCTGGGCAAATGCCCCCCTGGTCACAGCCAACAGATGGTAATCAAAGGTCAGCTGTGGGTCCAGAAGGACTCCCAAGTTGCGAACCCTGTCTGAGGGGTATAATATTTGGCCCCCCAGCCTGAGTGATGGAACACTGGCCAAATTATTGGGAGGAAAAGACAACAGCCACTCGGTCTTTTCCGGGTTGAGTACAAGCTTGTTAGCCCTCATCCAGTCTCTAACGGCTTCGAGACCCCGGTTCATCACATCCACCGCTTCATTGAGTTGGCACAGGGCAGACAGATACAACTGCGTATAGTCCGCGTATTGGTGGTATCTTATCCCATGCCTCCGAATGATCTCGCCCAGCGGTTTCATGTAGATGTTAAATAGTAGGGGGGACAGGACCGACCCCTGCGGCACCCCATATGTTAGGGGCCTAGGGGTCGATCTCTGCCCCCCAACCAACACCGACTGCGACCTGTCCGAGAGGTAGGAGGAGAACCACTGCAGAACAGTGCCTCCCACTCCCACCTCCCGCAGTCGTCGTAGAAGGATACCATGGTCGATGGTATTGAAAGCCGCCGAGAGGTCAAGGAGAACCAAGATGGAGGCATGGCCTCCATCCCTGGCTCTCCAGAAATCATCGGTCAATGCGACCAAAGCGGTTTCTGTGCTGTAACCAGGCCTGAAGCCGGACTGGAATGGGTCAAGGTAACTGGCTTCCTCCAAGGACCGCTGAAGCTGGGAGGCCACCACCTTCTCAACAACCTTCCCAACAAAGGGGAGGTTGGAGACTGGACGGTAATTGTTAAGGACGGCTGGATCCAAAGATGGTTTCTTCAGGAGGGGTCTCACCACCGCCGCTTTAAGTGCGGCGGGGAAGTGCCCCTCCAGAAGGGAGGCGGTAATAACCGCCTGGATCCAGCCCCGTGTCACCTCTCCGCTGTTGGCAACCAGCCAGGAGGGACACGGGTCCAGTACACAAGTGGAGGCACTCACAGCTCTCATGGCCTTGTCCACGTCCCCGGGGGCAACATCCTGAAACTCAACCCAGCGATGGTCTGCCAAATTATCCGCCTGTGCCTCGGCTGGATCTGCAAAGGTGGAGTCCAAATCCGACCAAAACCGAGCAACTTTGTCCGCTAAGAACTGGACATAGTCTTCAGCCCTACCCTGCAAGGGGTCTCCCGTATCCCTCCTATTTAGGAGGGAACGGGTTATCCTAAACAGGGCGGCTGGGCGAGACTCAGCGGACGCAACCAAGGTGGCAATATACGATCTTTTTGCTGTCCTAAGTGCCCTGATGTACTCCTTGGTGCAAGTTGTTAAGAGTGCTCGGTTCGATTCGGATTTATCGGACCTCCATAGGTGCTCTAGGCGTCTCCTCCGGCGCTTCCTCTCCCGGAGCTCCTCGGTGAACCAAGGAGGCCTCTGGGATCCGCCACCTCGGAGTGGCCGTAGTGGCGCAATCCGGTCAAGGGACTCCGATGCTGCCAAGTGCCAGGCAGCAACCAGAGTCTCCACCGGACTGTGGGCGAGAGTATCAGGAATGGTGTAAGTTGAGGACTACCAGGAATTGATTTTAGTATAGAAATGAGACCACCTCACTTTCTAAAAAATGAGGTCACCCACTTTTTAGTCTGCCTTATTCCTGAGATCCACAGGTATATTTTGTGTAAAGTAGAATGACATTGACTTAAATAATGCAATTTTTACACTGTTTTGAAGTACTGACTGTATCTCTTTTCTTTTTCCTAGTGAATTGGATGATGACTTACTAGGAGAAGATTTGTTGACTGGCAAAAAGGTAAAAATCAGTCTGTTTAAAGTATATCTTAAGATAGTCATTCGTTTAAAAAGTAATTTGACTACTTTACTTAAATCCACATCAGTGCAGCTCCTGATGGCTTAGAATAGGGGTGTCAAACTGGATTTATTTGAGGGCCGGATCAGCATTGTAGGTCTCTGTGAGCTGGCAGGGAACGGGATGGGTGCCTCCTACAGCATCCAAATTGGGGCGCAGAAGGGGGCACGCTATGCCCCATTTTCAGCCTCAACGGCCTCCAGCACTTTACCAGACAAAACGGGGTACATGGGCACCTCCCCCTACACACACACGCAGGCACACCTCATTTTTACCTTCTATGGCCTCCAGGAGCACTCTGGGCCAAAAATGGGCCGCACGGGGCCTGCACACAGCCCATTTTGGCTGGCAGAGGCACTGTGGACTGGTCCTTTGATATTTCCAGGCTGGTCCCAAGGGGTGGATTTAAGCACCCGGCCTGCGGGCCTTGAGTTTGACTCCCCTGGATTAGAATTTTCTCTCTCTAGCTGTTCCAATAAAGAAATCCAAATGCTGTGCTGGAAGCTTGCCTCTTTATTTTATATCAATTCATTTCTTTCCCCACCAATTTTAGACCCAGTCTGATATGTCAGATGAAGAACTGAATGATGATCTCCTGCAGAGTGATAACGAAGATGATCAGCATTACAGGTTTGTGTTTTGTTTGAGCCAAGTATTGTAGCTTGCTTTCTATATCAGCACATTTAGATTATTTGTTTGTATTTCTGCCCTAGAATAGCACAAAAATGTGCTGTTGTGTGTAAGACGTATTATCCTTTGAGGCACCAAAGATGATACATGAACATCATTTCATCTGTGCAAGTGTATGAATTCAACTCATTTTCGGCTGGATATTAAAGCAGAAAATAATGGTAGTATAGGACCGGATTTCCCAGATGCATTCTTTTCAGAATTGTGGTAACCTCCAAAAATTTAATTGCTTCTAGAGATTCCTTAGAAATAGCTATTCTAATGTGAATTTCTAATTACATAAGTTTTCTTTGATGTATATACCATTAAGAATGTAATTATTACTAAATGTAGCTGATTAAAAAATATAATTCTGTTAAATGCCTCAAAGAAAAAAGAGGATGTCTGGTTTGCTACATGTAGGCATAATCGTAGCTGCAAAAATGAATTAAGAACTGCTGTTTTATTCATTTGCATTAAGAGTACACTTATGCAATGATGCCAGAGGCTTTCTTCGTTTTTCCTTGAAAGTGTTTGGCTTCTCATCCAAGAAGCTTCTTCAGTTCTCACTATGATGAGAAACCGAACGTCTTCAAGGAAAAACAAAAGTCCAGTTGCCTTTTGGGGGAAAAAAAACCCTGTGGGACAACATGACCTAGATGACTGAGAATCTCCAGACATTTGTAAAATTATTCGGGTTTTGAATTGCTTAGGTACATTGTTGGTACATTTTATCTTTTCACCCTCTTATTTGTTTTAAATATATAGTACATCTTTCCCCATCTGTTTTTTTTAAAGTTTTATTGTTTTAATTAAACAAAAACACACAAAAAAAGAATCATCTTTCGTTACTTTTTGTAGAAAGCGTGTTGATTGGTTACAAATACATTATAAATACATGAGTTTTTTCCACAATCATTACATATACTTCATTCAAATTGAATTGTACATTTTAAAATTTATGTATTTTACTATCACTGTACCACAAATCTCATTTGGATACAATTATTTAAACATGCTTTTATCTAAAATCATTTGTATTTAAAGACACAACCACCTACTGGCATACATTCGCAATCTCAATAAACCTCCAATGACTTTATACCTTTATAACATATTCTAAGACAAAATCAGTTAGTAGGATATCTAAGCATTCCCTCCCCTTTCTCCCTCCCACCCTCAATTCACAAATTTAAGCTTATGTCCAATTTGCTTTTACTGGTACAACACACACATATATATCATTAAACATTATCCATTAACATTTCCTTGTTATTATTGTAGTTAACTAAAAATTATTTACTATTAATATCACCTCTCCTCTCATTAGGCCCAAAAGAGATTATACCTTTATAGCAAGCTCTAAACAAGAATTTATTAATAAAATTTATAGGTTTTTCCCCTAAGTCCCAAATTACAATTTATATCCAAGTTATTTTACTAATTAAGGTTGTCATTTCATTATTGTTGTTGTTAATTATATGTTAACGAATAAACATTCAATGATAATATAAAGTTTACAAAATACTGAAATCCCTACTTATTAATCACCAAGAATTAGCTAGCTTTTTATCGTCAACTTTCATTATCAACCTGTATCTTTCTAGTAGCAGAACAGTCTTATCTCTCTTGCCAGTTGTTGTGTCAATTCTCTTTTCAGCTCCTTTCCAAAGTTTTTATGAACTTCTCTCCGCACTTTATTGCTTAGAAGATCTCTCAAATAGTCTTGTTGCCCTTGAATTGTTATTAATGTTAGCTTATCTTTGATTGTCAAACTTATTTCTGAATAGGTTTCTCTTCTTAACTTCTTAACCATCCTTATCGCTCTTTTTTTTCTCCTGTATCTTGAAATCTGGGATAAAGCTCCAAATTGTCAAATTCACTTTTCCATCTTCCCATCTTTCCGCTTTCACCCATATTTGCTCCATTAATAATAAATAATCTATTATCTTGTCTTTATCTTCTATATTTTCATTCTCTTCTTGAATTTTTGGGGCTCCAACCCCATCATCTTTTGCTGTGATAAACAATAATCTATCCAACTTCTTCTCAAATCTCCTAAATCCTTCTAAAATAGTTTGAATTCCAACCAGGATGTTTTGAAATTTTAAGGTTTCCTGATCTGAATATTGATCCATTTTTCCAAAAGAAAAGAAATAGAAAAAAAGAAAAAAGGAGTCTTAGCCACTGCCACTCTAGCCTTCCAAACTTCTTTTGTGAATATTTCTACATTTAAGTCTTAAGCACAAGTTCTTTCGTACTCTTCAAAGTAGAAGGGTTCTTATCTTTTTCTTTCCTTTTCCTTCTCTTGCCAAAATATTTTCCAAGAGCACCTGCAAAAAGCACTTCGTGCCCTTGAGTCTTTATCAGATTTTGTAAACAAGTGCAAACCCTTCAGTTACGAAGTCAGTGAGATCAAATAGGAGTGAACAAAGGATACATTGTTTCAAAGAAAAAAAAACTTCAGACTCAGGCTTCTGAATGCCAGATTCCAATTTTATGGAAAACAAAAATCTTTAAATGTCTTTGGTGTAATTTTATAACAAATAGAAGGGAGAGTTTATTAAAATAGAAAAAGAGTTTTAAGCCAAAAAAAATAAGATGATAAAAAATAAAGGGGAAAAAAATCAGTCCATTCACTTCAAGCAGAGAAACTGGAAACGTTACAATCACTTCAATCCACAAAACATCGCTGCAAGCAAGAACAAAAACTTTTTAAGGTAGTCCAATAAGGATTAAATTTGTCGCTTTGTTCTTTACTTACAGGACTAATTTATCTTTTTATAAAAGGTTTCTTTGGGAAATCTTTCTCAAAGTAGGAAAAAAAAACCCTCACCCGATGGACTCACTTTCACTTCCTTCCTTCCGGAGCTGTCTCCGACTTTGTCAGCCTGGGGTCTGCCTGTTTGCCGCCGGTTTGAAGCGCTTCCTTTGGGACAATCAGGGACTTTGCGGTGTCCCTGAGACCAGCAACGCTTTGTCTTCCTGGTCACCATCTCTCCGGGATGGTTTAGGTCCTGCTGGACTGTCCAGAGGCAAAAGTGTCAATGGCGGTCTTGGACAGCTGAGACTGCACGTTGTGTTGTTGCAACGTTGGCTCCTCCCCCCCCATCTACTTGTTGATGGAGGGAAATAAAATCATTCAACCAATGAGCCTCTGCAGGACCGAATATGTACACTCATACAGAAAAATAATATAGATCAATGTGATTGTTCATATTAGAAGAATTAGAAGCCTTATTAGAAGAATTGCCTGATACATTAAGGAATTGTTCTCACTTTTTTCTCATTTGCATAATGATTCAACCATGATGTTTCACAAATTTTTTTGAGTTACAACCATTTTTAATTAATTCTGCCTTTGCTAAAAGTTTCTTGGCAAAGCAGAAGCACTAGCTAAAATATATCAAACACCATATAATATCTAGATCATATTTCTATTTCAGACCTCACACATAAAAACAGAATAATTCTGACTCTGAACTTTTTATTCAGGACTCAGCTTGACCAGAAATGGCTTACATATAATAATTATTGAGCTTAGGTTTTTAGACCCAGGACAGAGCTGCATCTTTCAAAGCATCACTGCCTTCTAATTTGTTCATTTCCGTGACTTTTGCATGCTGTGGATTTTGTGATTGACAACTTGGATCGGCATTGGGAAGATCCAAGTTTAGTTCAGCCATGGCAGCTCACTTGGTGACTTTGAACCAATCAATCTCTCATCCCACCTACTTTACAGGATGGCTGTGGGGAAAAAAATTGAAAGGAAGAGAGTCCATATGTCGCTTTGAATTCCCAAAGAGCCAACAGGATATAAACAGATAAATCATTGTGGGAGAGAGAGTAAAAAGAATCTTGCATATTATTATTACTTTATGTATTACAAGTTGGTATATTTTAATGAACAAAAACAGTTCTTTTTTAATTTGCTGAATTGATAGGGTTTTATGGAAATTTTTATCAGAACACCTGTGATTCCTTTCAGAATTTAGGTAGGAGCTATTGTCATAGTACAAATTGAACATTTGCTCCTGTTGATGCTTATAAAAATTAAATGCAAATTCTAGCAGGTTGAAGTATATTCAAGCACACCCTTTTAAAAATATTTCATTATAGTAACCTAAAATTCAAAAACATCGGTGCCCAGTAGTATTAATGTAGCTAGTATAGTAGCTAAATAACGTTGTACTAAGTCAGGGGTCAGCAACCTTAAACACTCAAATAGCCATAAAGGTCCTAACTGGAAGCCCCCCCCCCCTTCAATTCTGGAGCCGACCAGAAGTCTGGTTCCCCTCCGATGGTCTTAGGCGACCCCTGTGAAAGGGTTGTTCAACCCTCAAAGGGGTCCCAACCCACAGGTTGAGAACCACTGTCCTAGTACGTCATCCTTTCCTCTACCTGTCCTAACCGAAATCCCTATCAAATTGTGGAGCCAAGCAGCAACAGGAAGCTGCAGTAGAGGGATGAAAGAGCCACTTGTGGTTCCAGAGCTGCAAGTTGCTGACCCCTGTGTTAAGTGGAAAACGGATGCTGATCTCCTGTGTATATTTGTTAACCCAGGATGCAAAACTGAATGCAACTTGCTCAGTAATCTCATACTTTATGCCAGGTTATCTGTTATAACATATAGTTCCGTGATGGCATGCGTGCCAGAGGTGGCACACAGAGCCCTCTCTGCTGGTACACGCACTGTCAGATCAGATCTTTGTGGCGTTTCTTTCATGAGCTTCTGTTTCCTTGCAAATAACGAAGCTGAAGTCCATGAAAGAAAAAGATCTTACCTCTTGCTGCGTTGCTGGTGTTGGGATGCCCCGCCTCCCATCGGTCAGCTGGTCTTCGGGTCTCTGCTGCGCATATCTACATGTCTGCGCATGCACATATCAGCATGCGTGTGTGCACACAGCTTTCGGTTTGGGCATGCATGCACGCACAATTTGGGGACTTGGTGTTTAAAAAGTTCGCCATCACTGATACAGTTGGTTCGATTTCCTTGGTCAAATAACTGACATTTGATGAAATAGTGATTGTATGTATGTATGTATGTATGTATTAAACACACACACACATATATGTGTGTGTTTGTGTGTGTATGTGTTGTATTTGTGCTGATAAATAAATAAAGGCTTTAAATATATATATGCATGTTATGAGTTAATGTCATGAAATCAGGTTGATGCATCCATTAATTTTTACTTACTGGGGATATTGTTGCATTCTATGCAGAAATACATGCACAGTAATAATGTACTGATTTAAACTAAAACCACTTTTTTTTTTTTGCTATATTTTAGTTCTCAAAATGTCACTGTGAGTCTTAATGCTGAACCTACCGTGGTGACAACCTTTGAGCTCACTGAGAATGCTAACGACGCATCTATTGAACAAGACTTAGAGTATGAACAAGGGGAAGATGAAATTGGTTATGACAAACCAGAGGTTCCTGAAGAGTATTCTGAGGAGTATCCCGAAGAACAGTATGAAGGCCAAGAGGCTGAGTTGCCAGAAGACCAAATAGAATATGTGGAAGATCAGGGTGAAGAAGAGAATTATAATGATGAAGTGCTGGATCTTGAAATCAATGAACCTCTAGATGAATTCCCGGTGAGTTTTATTTTCCCCTTCCCATTTTAGTTTTTGAGATAACATTGCTGCACATGCTTAGGTTTTTAGACTGATTTGAAATCTGTTTACTTCCCTTGGGACCAAAGCAAAATTAGACCTATTATCACTGTCTGCCAGTTTCTTTATCTAGGCTGTGACAAAGTTTGTGTTGACAGCTTGTTTGGCTGCAGGTAATGCTCTTTTGTCATTCTGGAAGGCAGTCGAGAATCATGACCTTGAAGATTGTATCCTTAAGGAAGAAAACAGCTTTGTGTGGTGGAGACACAGTGCCAATTGTTAGAAGTACTTAATGCAAAAGCTTTTATCCAGGCTTTAGACAAGATCTGATAAAGTCCTTCGAAGGTGAAAAGATTATTGACCTGCTAAAGACATCTTTAAGGTGCTAATATTCCAAAGTGATTGATGTTCTGCTCACTCATTTCCACCCTCCCTTTTTTTTGTAATTGAGAACTGTCTAAACCTGAATAAAGAGATTTGAGGTTGCTTTAGAACATGTCACATATATAATTTGTTTCAGTTTCAATGTTTTCTGTATACATTGCTCTGAATTGAAATGAGAATAGATTTATTGCCATTTATTATAAGTATTTCTTAATTAAAAATACTAGCAAATGTAAAGGGATTTATTGATCCTTTAACTTTGCTTTAAAGCCTAAATCACATAATAAAATGCTGTATGTTATTCTTAGATGTATAAGATATAAATAACTAATGGGAAAGTACATTTCATGGAAAATAAAGGTATTGTATTACTCTCAAATTAGTTGAGTATTTAATTAAAATCTGAAATCCTGCATTTTAAAGGAATTAATGTGAACTATCACATCGTTGTGCCATGTAAGCTGCCTGGGAGCAATTAATTTTCATTTTATGTAGTAAGGTATATATGCTTTAAGTAAGTAGATGTAATTTTTCTTAGCTCACATGTTTTAAAAACTAATAATTATAGTAATAATGATGTTATGTTTTAAATTTTAAGAGGGTTCATCTTCTAAATTATTGATACAAAAAGTAAATAGCTACTGCATATGGACATTTAAATGTGACGTTGGTTTAATGGAGACCTATAAAAAGTAGTTTTGTCTTTCACCCTTTTTATAATTATGTAGATTCCAACTTCTCATCCTTTAAGTTTTAGTTGCAGCAAGGTATAAAGTTGTGATCATGGTTAGTATTAATTATAATTTCTCTTAAGCAGCATTCACCATTTAAATACTAATTCACTGATAAACTAATTTGCATAAATCAGTTTTATATTTAAGATAGATTTAAGATGCTGGAGATAGAAAACGTACAGAAGTATGGAAATTTGTGACTTTTTTCCAGTCTATTAATCAGAGCAAACAAGTTGGGAAGATTGCATATATACCAGCCCCTTCTGAATAAATATACTTAGAAACTAAAACTAGTTTAAAAGAAAGGCTTCCTTGTGTATTTCTTTCAGGATGAAGATTATGTACAATCTTATAGTGGAGAACAAGTAATTGAACAACAAGACTATGTAGCTGAAGAAGAGTTAGAAGAGGTTGTTGATACCCAGACACCTCCAAATGAGTCAGAAGAGGTACTGCAGAAAAGCTGGAACATTAAAAACAAAGCATATTTCAGATAGAATTTTCAATTTGGTATTAATCTTTGGCATTGCTTTTCTCAATATTCCTATTTCAAAAGTAGCTATAAAGAGAAATTATGAACCTACGCTAACTTTTAGCAGACTTATATACTAGGACGATCAACATTCCTGAATGCTCATTTTCAGGGAAAAACAAGATACGAAGGCAAGCGGTATACATGCTTCTTGTGTCACAGCTGCTTCTCCATTTGTTTCTCATTTTTGGCAGCCCTTACAAATAATGATGGTGTGATAGACCCACTCCAGTCATCAGCCAATATTTCCTTTTCATATCTGAATTTCTTTAACCCAGTCTGTAGCATTGCTTTTGGGACAAGAAAGAAATGCACAGTACTTTCTCTCTTCTTTACTCTTTGTGACCTGAACTCAAAACTGCATAGCATTATACCGGAACTAACTGTTCTGCATTGAAGTATCTTCTGTTTGATATCAAATCCTTGATCATTTTTCACTTTGTTCTTTGTGGGAACCAAGTCACCCTTTTCTAGCATTCCTTCTATGTAGTTGGAACAGTTTCATTCATCTGCTCACAATGTTGCCATGTATTATCTCTATTCCTTAGACATCATGGCCTATTTGCCAGCAAGTAGATGTAAAAAAAACCCTAATAACCCCAAATAACAACAGCTCAGTTGTGCTCGAGTGACATTTTAGTAAGCCAGTCTTCCACAGAGTTTTCTCTCGAGACCCCTCATTCCCTGTTCAATTTGATTTCCTTCTCAGTTGCATCAAAGGAAAAGCAGTCTTAGAAGCCAGTGATGAAACCTGAATCTTGGCCAGATATTTAATATGTGCTGTATACCGTATGCTCCATTCCAAAAGAATTCTGATCCTTGACATTTCAAAACTGGCAGATGAACAGATGCCTTGCTAGAAGATAGAGACAAGAAATTTAGAGTGACTTAAGACAGCCGTCCTTGAGAATACCAGTTATTACCTGAGCAATAAGTTTGTATTTCTGTGATGCATTTATTTTATTTTCCTCTTCTACAAGAGGCTAGCTGCCACTCTTAGCTTTCACTCACTGACTGTATTTGAGGGAAGGGATTATATTTGGATTTAAGGTTTTCCTCATCCCCAGTTTCTTTTGATGCCAGGAGTGGGAGCCTTAACTGGATTGTTTGACAGGCAGTTCACACCCCCCCCCCAAATCACCTTAAAATAAGGGCTCACCATCCAGGTTAGTGTATTCCTTAGAGTCCTAGTTGGTTTACTTGGTATTTAAATTCTGTGATTTTCTTCTTTTAAGGATGTTGAGGCACTTCCTGCAACAGAAAACACAGTGCTCTGTAGATTAAATGTAGAATTATAGGGCTTGAAAAAAAATCTTACAGGCATATAACTAATACATAGTACTGATGCTTTTTAAAAAGAAAATTCAATCATTCCTAACATTAATTTCAGTAATTGAAGAATATAGCTTATAAGTATTAAAACACTAGCTTATACCATGCAAACAGTAAAAGAGTATTTTATGGCTTTCACTACACAGAGGAATTTTGCCAAAGTCATCCAGTTGAAAATGATATGATTGTCTTCCACTCAAATGTTATTTCTATTACACTTCCAAGAATTTTATTAACTCATTTTCTCTTTTGTCATGCTTTATGGGAGGTTATTCAGTTACAGGAAATGAGCAGCGAGAAAGATTTCCAAACTTCTGTTAAGAATTGTTCCTGTGATCCTAAATACATTAACTGTAATGGTGTATGGGAAAAGTCTTGGGAGGTGGGAGAAGGGAGGAGATGCTGCCTCAGGAAGGGTTAGATGGGGTTGCAGGGTCAGCCTGCAACTGCATAACGGACAGGGAAGCGGACACTCCTAATTTCTCAGACTATAAAAGAGATGGTGGGACATTTGTATTTTCAGACTCTGCCTTACAATAAAATAGTATTAATTCATACCTGGTCGTGTTTCCTACCTGGTGAGCCTCGGAAGGCTGACATTCCTTAATGTTTTCTACTTAATTCGATGAACATTGCTAACACGGCAAAGAAATAGCCATGCTAATGCACCATTCCCTTTTTATAGCTTTTAGCCTGGCAAAATTCTTAAACAGTGTAGACTTCCCCCAAGTTCTTTTTAAATATTGTAACCTTCTATTCATCCTTCTGAACTCATAGTAAGAAATGAAGCATTCTCCTTATCTTGACATGAAACACTGATTTTTAGTATAGACTTCTGTGGCGGTGGTTAAAGAGATATATTTTGAAAACTTGTGACAAGATCTGTAAGTGAAGAAGTGAAGAAGCTCCTTGGGTGAGAAGTGAAACGTCTTCAAGGAAAAACAAAGTCCAGATGTCTTTTGGAAAAAAGACCTTTGGGACAACCGTGATCTGGATGAGTGAGATCTCCATGGACAAGATAGAAAGATTGTAGTCTTGCCTGCTCCCCAATTGCTCCCCAATGAAATCCATTGCTCTGGATGTATGCCTTCTATAAATGTCATTTCTATAAGGGTATTTCAGAGTGTTAGCTCTTATGAGTAAAAAATATTGATTCGCAAATTGCAATCTTGGTGCCATTTCCCTCTCTCCTTGCCTCTCACTTTACAGCATTTTGTAAAGTGATTTAGCCATGATTACTATCAACCGAATTTAAACATGGGTTAATTTTTTGTATTCTTTTTAAATCACTGTTTTTTCACATTCCACATAGTGAAATCAGTTAAATTTCACTTAAGGCTATAATATAGAACAGTATGTTTATTATTGGGGTTTATTATTATTGCATGGTGAAATTAACATTCAAGGGTCTTGATTTAGAGTTGCTTAGATACCATGTATGGACAACTGATACGATGTTATACGTGATACACACTTGATTTAAAGTTTTCTTGATTTCAAACCTTGTATTATATGTTAAGATCAGCATTTGACATTTTCCTCATCTGTTACAGGTGATTATTGAAAATCTGGAGTTTCAACAAGAACCCAAAGAAGAATCAGATGAAGAGGAGGAAGATAATGAAGAATCTGGTCGGTTACGGTTCAAAACTGAACGGAAAGAAGGAACAATTATTAGGCTATCGGATATAACAAGGGAGCGAAGAAACATTCCAGAAACTTTGGGTAAGACTTTAGAGGATATATATATATATATAGCAATATAGCAGTAGACTTATATACCACTTCATAGGCCTTTCAGGCCTCTCTAAGCGGTTTACAGAGAGTCAGCATATTGCCCCCAACAATCTGGGTCCTCAGATTCCTCAGAGGAATGGTTAGAAAACTAGATTCTTAATTGATTACAGCAGACTAGCACATTACATGCGCAGTTGAGGAATAATACAAAAATAAAAAATATAAATAATTGTGGTGATGGTGTGAATTATAAGCAGTGAAAAGGAAGTAAAATATATAAAGTAAAATAAAAACAATAACGTGCAGTTCAAGAGCCCTTTTATAATGTTAATCTGTATACAGAGAATCCTCCTCGGCTTATGTATAATTTATTAAGTGACCATTAAGGTGCTTGAGTTATGGCAGAGTTGAGAAAATGGAAGTACAGTTGGTGTTCAGCTGTTCCACCTTTAACAACGTCATTGTAATCATGTACTTGTGGTACAGGTGGCCAGTTTGCATTTATGATGTTTCAGGGAGGGCATGATCATGTAAACAGCGACCTTCTCTGCCGGTTTTCCACAAGCAAAATCAACGAGAAAGTCAGAAGGGAGTGTCACAAGTTGTTCTGACTCTCCTGCTTCTTCTACCCACCTGTAGCACCAGGTGGCTGATGTTGGCCATTCCCTGATTCACACACTGTCTGCACCAGCCCTCCTTCCTTGTGTATGACCATCCCCATGCTGCTTATCTAGAATCCTCACTGCTTCCCACTTAGCAAGCTGTAACAACAACAAAAACAACAGCAGCAGCAGCAGCAACAGCCAGGACTGCTAGTATTGTCCTTGCTAAGCACTGTGGCCAGGTGCTCTATGACCGCATCAAGTAATGACTGCAATATTAGTCCCAATTGCCATTGTAACTCCAGGACTGGCATTGGCATTGCCATCCTTCAGTCTCAAAAGACTATGGTGTCATGCTCTGGAAAGAGGTAAAGCTGGAGTGACCTCTCCAGAGCATGAGGCCTGGGTAGATTAATACGGAGGATAGACTGTTACCCAAGCATCAGATCCCCCATCTGCACATCGCTGAAATAGTCCAATGGAACGACACAGCCGATACAATTGGTTCTAGCTGCTCGCAGGAGTTACCAGAACGTGGTTGTACATAGTCACGAACTGCTTCTGGGATTCCAGCTCTGGATTTTGCCTCAAGGTTGACTCTTGAAGCCTTTTCCAGTAGTGGATATAGCCACAAGGCAGTGGGGGTTTGTAATCAATTCCCCTTCTCCTAGACCTAGAAGATGGTTCTGCCGCTTTATCTGCCATTAGGACGTAAAGTCCTCTTCCGCCTTCAAAACTGTTGACCGTCTTCTCCTGTAACCCTGGAAAGGGGCCCTTACGAAGCCCAGTAACTCCAGGACTATCTGTATTTATTCAGGATGGAAAGTTGTTAAATACCTTGTGGCAGTGTTGTATGTGTAATATAATATAATCTGGTAAATTTAGGTAGGTCTTGTCCTTCCTAATACGAGCACAAACATGTTAAGGTGTCACACAATGTCTGCTCAGCTTCAGGTCAAATCAGCTTTTCTGGAAGGACTGGCTAATTGAAGATGCTATTCTTGAAAGGAATCTCAGATTGATGTCATAGCAAGGTGGAATCAGGCAGGTTTAGTAATGAATTATTTAGAGTCTCAGTGTGACATCTTGTGAAACTACACACAAACAGGACTTCTTTTGAAGTGTCCTGGGCTACAAGTCCAATATGAAGATATGTTGTAATTTTTTAACAGAACACACTGCTATAAAACTATTGCAGGAGTACATTTCTTCTCTCATATTAGAGACATGGCCACATCCATTGATTGGCCTAATACCTCGTACAAAAGTAGTATTTCATGTTTTGTAAGTTGCAAGCCTTTTGAAGAAATTCTGCTGTTTTACGGATTGACACAGTAATTGTGTGAACTATATGAAATGACGACATGACATAATATGTCATGCGTTGTTGCTCATCTGAGGTTGTCTTTACCTTTTTTTTAAAGAACTGCTAAGGACCAGAAGATTTTTACTGTATCCTGTAACTTTCTTTTTCACTTGACTGTATGTGCTTCTCATCTTTAACTTAATTCAGAAGTAATAAAATAATATATAATAGTAAATTATAAAAATAATTTGAAAATAATATGTGTCATACATTTCACACAGGTATTTAACATGTGAGGACTAAATGAAGCTACCAGTTTGAATGTCTATGGAGATTCTCAGCCATCCAGGGTCATGGTTGTCCCAAAGGTGGTTTTTCAAGAGGCAGCTGGCTTTTCTGGTATTTCTTTTGAAGATGTTTTGCTTCTCATCAAAGAAGCGTCTTGGATGAGAAGTGGAACATTTTCAAAGGGGAGACACCCCCCCCCCCAAAAAAAAGTCCATTTGCCTCTTGAAAAACCACCTTTGGGACTACCAGTTTGAAACATCTTTCATATTCATTGAATCTGAGCTACCCATTGCTGGGGATTATTGAGTTGTACCACATCAAATGCTACATGTCAAATAACAAAAGGAGTTGTGCATTGCTCAGAGAGGGCAGATATTTAAAAATGGTTTTTCGCTATCCAAATCATAAATTCTCCAACCTGCTACCCCCTACATTAATAACTGCACTTTTCATTTCCCCCAGATTTTATGTGGTTGGAATTGCTGGGAGTTGTAATTTACAGGTAATCCTGGATTTGTAGTTATTTCCAGAATTTCCATGACTAAGCAGGGCGCTTAAGTAAATTGTGCCCATTTCAGAATCTTTTTGCTAAGGTTGTTAACTGAATCACTGCAGTTGTTAAACTAATCTGCCTTTCCTCGTTGATTCCGCTTGTTGGAAGCTTATTGGAAATGATAATCACATGATTTCCCCCCCATCTTAAATACCTGCCAGTTGCCAAGCATCCAAATTTGGATCACATGACCATCATATGAGTATGCTGTGATGGTCATAAGGGTGAGGACCAATTGGAAGCCACTTTTTTTCAGTGCCGTTGAAACTTTGAATGATTGCTTAATGAATGGCTGTAAGCTGAGGACTTCATACATATATGTCTCTGAGGGGCCTCATAGACAATTCTAAATCCATTTAGGGTGGTGGAAGAATCTGGAGCGGAAGTTAGGGAAGGAGTGGAAAGCTTGGCTAGCTAGCTGATGGGGAGGAAGAGCCTGAAGGAGATCCTCCCTAAAACTTTTCAGTGTTTTTCCAGTAGTTCTGTAGTGAGCGTGTGAGTCTGGGGAGATTCAAGGAACCAGAAATGAAACAAGGAGCAAACCAGAGTGGTATGTTTATCGCTGTTCCCCTATAGGCAAACCCATTGGGTTAAGCCTGGAAAGATTGTTTATAATCGGGTGCTTTGGTAATGGAACACTAGGAAAGTATAGATTTAGCTAGGGGGAAAAATCAGCTGGATGATTTTAAGAAACCATGGGAGCAAAATGTATTGTACTTAGTTTTTATTTTTATCTATTTTTTAAATTGTCAACAACTGAAAAGTATAAGATTAAGCTGTCTGTATGGAAGTATCTTTAAAAACTGTTCAGAAATACTGATGATTTATTTGATAGCTTGTTTCCTTGCTTTCATAAATAATGGTATCAAAATGCTGTAGCAATAAAAAATATCTCATTAGCAGTTTGCAAATATGCAAGTTTTGCAGTTTCTATTCAAATTTTTTCCTTCCTGTAAAAAGCCATTGTCAGCTGGAGCAGTTAAGCGATCTGCAATAATTGTTGTCTATTAGTGAAAAATGTAGTAAAAGTGGCGTAATAAATATTACTTTCTTTCAGGACTGATTGCTCTTAATAAGAATTATGGGTATAGAAATGGAATCCCATTGAGTGGTTACAATTTTTACTTTAACATGTAGACATAAATTGAGAAAACACTTAAATAGAAATTAATATTTTAGTTGAAATTCCAAATGTAATTTCCTTTCTGTCCCTTTTTGGTGACCTTATATGATAGGTAGTCTCTGTTGGAGGAAAGCATCCTTGCTGATTAAAGATGGCATTTGAAACCATTTTATTACCAAGGGTAGCCAAATTATTTTAACACTTGGGACTAGAGAAATAATTGCTGATTCACTGCATTAGCGGTGTATGAAAGAATTCCGCAGTAAAGATTGGATATGTGTTGGTAAAAATATGTTAAACATTTTTTTTCTTATGAATGCAGCAGAACCGTATCTTAAATGCTGCTCTTTTTAAATTAAAAGGAAAATCCTTTGAATTACAAGCATTTTAAAGCAGGTTAAGTGTGAACATGAAATAGATTCTTTAGGGACAACATTTCAAAGAATCACATACAAAGAAGAACAGAATAACAGAGTTGGAAGGGACCTTGGAGGTCTTCTGGTGCAACTCCCTGCTCGAAGCAGGTATAACCCTATAACAGTGATGGCAAACCTTTTCGGCACTGAGTGCCCAAACCGGACCGATTGTCCATGTGCAAATGCGTGTGCCAGAGCATCAGAAACCTGAAGACCAGCTGGCCAATGTCTGTGCGCATGCCAGCTAGCTGATCTCCAGGTTTCTGGCACACACATGCGCCAGCCAGCTGGTCTTTGCATGTGCCGTAGCCCTGGAAACCCAAAGATCAGCTGGCTGGCACAAACATGTGTTTTGGGCATTTTGGGACCATTTTCAGGCCCCCAAAATGGCCTGAAAAGGGGTCTGGTTTTTTGGCTGTGGTTTTTTAGCCATTTTCAGGCTGTTTTCTGGTGCTCCAGCACCCACGAAAACCAGCTGGTGACGGCACATGTGCCCACAGAGAGGGCTCTCCGTGCCACCCCTGGCATAGGTTCGCCATCACGGCCCTATAACATTTCAAACAAATGGTTATCCAATCTCTTTTTTAAAATCTCCGGTGGAGTACAGGAAACTGTAGTTTCTGGAGGCAAACCATTTTCTTGTGCTTATACAATACTTTTGAAATGAGTCCCATATTACAAAATAAAGATAGTTCTCCTTCCCCCTGCAGCCATGTAATCGTGTTTTGGACTCTCAGCAACTGGCCTGGCATATAAGAGCTGTTTTCAGCATCCCACGGCCACACTATCAATATTTCTGATGTTTTGTACTGGAAATTGATGTTTGCTTCCAGTTTTGGCAAAGAAAAAAATATCACTTAACAGCTGGCACGACATATGTCTGGAATTTGGGCTCCCTTACAATCATAAGTCAAGGACTATCTGATGTTTAGGATTTATGTTCTGAAATTGAGGGTCAGAAAAGGTCTCTGTGTATAAGAGAACACACATGGTTTTTTGAATGCCGAATACTGATTTTGCTTGAATGCAATTTAAAAAAAACAGATACCAAGGCGGAGTTGTTTTATAGACATCTCTTTTCAAGTTATGAGTTTGCTGAAGTAGTCAAAAATTGGAATAAATATTTGTGTATGAAGGTGAAAAGACAAATTACTTGCCCTGAATCCAAGCTCATCTTCCTTCCTTTATCACCCCTTCCCCATTTTTAAATCTAAATGAGACCTAATTGTACTATTGTTAAAGCTGTAATTATTTTGATGGCATCAATTATGTGGGCGTAACATTCCCTAAGGAGGATTCTGGTCCATCCTTTTTCTCTGGTTTTTTATTCTTCAGTACCATCCTACTTTGAATGCTGATATGTAAGGCAGAATTGTACAAACTACTGGTAAATGGGTTGGAGTTGTTGTTTCCATTACCTGGAGAATAAAGTTCTGTTTTAACAGTGGAAGTAACTTCTGTGACCCCTTTCAGTTCACCTTTCTAGGCCTGATACTCTGTGCTCTGAATATGTGCTGAGTAAAGATGGCCAGCAGCAACAAGATGAACTTTTAAACTCAATTACTTACTCTCCTTAAAATTGGACATCCTCCTGCATGGGTTTTAGCCTGACTTAGCTATTCTTCAGAAAATTTTGTGCCTTTGTTTTCAAGATTGTAGTCGAGGGATAGAGTGGACTACATGGTTCTGAGTGAGCCAGTGAAGAAAGATTTAGAAGCAATGCTCCAATTACCAGATTTCATCTTACAAATGTAATAAGCATCTTTCCTTTTTCCATAACATGAAGACTTCCAAGTAAAAAGCACAGCATAGTTACTTCATAGTTTCCCATTACTTAAAGGCATGCTATATATTTTTGTAAGAAGGGAGAAAGGATGAAATAAGGTGTGTTTAGAATGGAATATTGCTCAGAGTTTGCTTTAATAGGCTACCATCAATATATCCTAGAATATTTTTGAATCTGCTGCTTTTATGAAGACTTACTTGATTATGTTAGGAACACTAGTGAAAGAGTGCTTTTTTTCAAAGCGATTTCATAGAAGGATGATATTGATATGACTAGGAAGCATGTTCTGAAGATATAAAGGCACCAAATATGTCTTACTATAATATGTCATCTTATTTTACATTTTGTTTGTTGTTGCTGTTTTGAATTTAGAAATGGTCCATATGAAACAGCATGGAAGCTTAAGAGGTAGTCAGATATAATACCTAATTAAATTAATTTTAGCAATCGGTACTGTATTACATGTATATATATATTTCTATTAACTACTGAATTTTTGCAAGTTATTGTAGGAGAAAGAAAGGTTGAAACAAAACTATTTAAAGTAAATTAATAACAACTATAATAAACAAAAACAAAGTAAACTTATTTTAAAATATCAGTTATGAAACTATTCTTGAGAGAATAAAGAATTTTAGCTTGAGTGTAAATATGTATTTCCATCTGCAAATTAAAAGAATACAATCAGATTAATTCTTTAATTGTTAGTTGTCTTGATGTATGTGCCATGCTAATTGAATATGTTTACCTGCATGGAGTCGTTACTATTGTAATGAGACTGTTATCAGCTGAAAGCTCTTAATTCTTCTGGCAAACAGTAAATTATATTTTCTTTCATCGGATAGAACTTTCTGCAGAAGCCAAAGCAGCATTACTTGAATTTGAAGAACGGGAAAGACAGCTAAAACAAGGGCGGTATGGGTCCCGAAGAGGAGGAAGGCGAGGAGGGTTATTGATGTGTCATGGGCTGGGAGATCTAAGAAGAGACATCAATGAAAGAGGAAGAATGAAGGATCACCGGCCTGGTTTATTGCCAACCCAGACAGCTGTGATGGTACCCTAAATACAATAATGATGGTTGGGTGGGTGGAGGAATTCAAATGGTGGAAGGCCTGCTTAAATTTAACTGCTTAAATGGGAATGCTTAATTCAGAAGAATTGGTATTTACAATCTGAAGTTTTGTTTTATTCTGTTTATTTATGTATTTATTTTTATTACTAATAATGAGTAACTCATGGGGGCAAGCATGCATAATATTCCTTCCTTCCTCCTATTTTTTTCCACAAAAGCAACCCTATGAGGTCTGTAGGGCTGAGGGAAAGTGACTAGCCCAAAATCATCCAGCCAGCTTTCAGGCTTAAGGTGGGACTAGAACTCATAGTCTCCTGGTTTCTAGCCTTAACCACTATGCAAACTGGCTCTCTGGTTTTAGGATTTGTGAAGTTTTCCCATTCTTGATACTTCCTATAGTTCTGCAAAGCATGTGCAGCCCCAGACACTTCTCTTGATCCTATCTATGGGTATGCTTGACATGGTATATATTTTGATATAAATGGTAAATGGTAAATTTATTTATAGGCCGCCCTTTTCCCTGGGGGGACTCAGGGCGGCTT